AAGGGCTGCTAGTGTTCTTTCCCGCTCCGGGACGACAGGCATGGGTTGTGCAGATGCGCTGCGCAGCCACGCCGATCACTAGGGCTGATTTTCATAGCCACGCCCATCACCAGGGCTGATTTTCATAGCCATGCCCGTCACGAGGGCTGATTTTCATAGCCACGCCCACCACTAGGGCTGATTTTCATAGCCACGCCCATCACTAGAGCTGATTTTCATAGCCATGCCCATCACCAGGGCTGATTTTCATAGCCATGCCCGTCACGAGGGCTTATTTTCAGGGTAGGGCTTCTATTGCGCACATGCTCAGACATCCTGCTGGGGTTTATTTTATGGGTAGGTCTTATTTTTGGGGAAACACGGTATGAGTTTCCAGCCACCAGGCAGAATATTTCTACAGACCAGCTTCAGCATATACCCCACACGCCTCTTCACCACCAGCAGCTGCATGTTTCTGTGGCAACCCCATCCTTTCCAGTGAGGGCTGAATTCACTGGCCTTGAGGGGCAAGGACTCTCTTCCAAGTCCTCAGTTTCTCTCTGGCTTAGGACATTGAACTCCTGGCAGCAGGTGCTCTGTCTGCATTTGCAAATTCTGTATTGCCTAGAATCTTCTTTTACCTTTTTGAAAATTATTATTTAACTACCTTTTACTAGTTAATAGTTCTTTATATTAGATGTTCCCTGTTCAAATTACTGTTAGGGGTTCTGTCCTCCAAACAGACTCTGCTGATATAGTATGTTCCCACGCGGTGGTTTTGTGATTAATTAGACTTCCTCCAAAAGCACCAGTGGTAAGACTGAGTTATAGGAGATGATCAAAGATGGGAATAAAGTAGGAAACCTGACATGACTAAAGACGTCTTTGGAATGTTTTTTGGCTGGGTGCATTAAGGGAAATGTATCAGAGCCTGTCTAGAGCCTGCAAACCTTTCAAGAGCCTTTGGAGATGTTGAATATGTATTGCATTTTTGAGAATATATCTATATTTGGGGAGTTGCTCGAGGCTTCTTGGATCTGGCTCTGGGTCATGCTCTTCAAATGTGGCTCAGAATAAACCTCTTTAAATTATTAAACAAAGAGAATATATTTATATATGGATGTGTACACATGTACACAAGAATTCTGAAATATAAAAAGAAAACTAAAAAAACCAAAATGAGTGTTTTTTTTTTATTTTTTTTATTTAAATGTTGTCAACTGCAATTCCACTCAACTCAATTCAGCTTATACATAGTTGGGAATGTGAGTGCATTTCAATGTTTATTATAATTTATGTAGGCTTCCCTAAAATAAGAAAGTGTATCTTGAGCTTGCTAATTTTTTTTTAAGTTTTTGGGTTCAATTCACTGATGATACCAAAGCGGTTTTAGTTCAATTCAGACATGAAGGAGTTCATTTAAATTTGTTCTATTGCTAATGACTGCACACAAAACACCAGCTACTGACTTCTAAAATATGCATTAGTGATCTCAAAGAGTGGTTTGAACAAGAAGAGGTAGAGGATTAGTCTAATCCATTATCACTACTGAAAAACAAACGACTTCCTACATTTTCCAAAAATATATGACCTGGATTTGTCTAAAATCCCCAAATACCAAACAAGTCTTGCTAGAAATATATGTGTTTATTTGTATGTAAGTATATATGTATACATTTTTTTACTTTTTTTATTTTAAAATTAAAATAACTTTAATTTTTTCTTTTTTCTTTTGTTTACCCAGAAGTATCTTATCAACCAATTCATGCATATATTTTTTATTTATATTTTTAGGTAAAATCATTTTGCCAAACAAGAATAAAAATTTCAATGCAGTAACTGGTAATACTAATATTCACAACATGAAAAAATCTACACTGAAAACATACTAATATTTTGGGTTCCTGTATTGCTTGCCTTTGTGTTTTGGGTGGTAATAGACAGAAAGGTAGTCATGTAAGAGTCATCATTTATATAATATTCTGCCAGTTTTTCAATGTAGTCCTTGACAAAATTCTGACTCTATTTGATCCTACATAGAAGTTAGGTGATCATTCTCACTGTGTCTCTCTAACATTTGGGAGCACTTGTTAACACACGCTTCCCCAAGACTGGCCGGGCGCGGTGGCTCACGCCTGTAATCCTAGCACTCTGGGAGACCAAGGCGGGCGGATCGCTCAAGGTCAGGAGTTTGAAACCAGCCTGAGCAAGAGTGAGACCCTAATCTCTACTAAAAATAGAAAGAAATCAATTGGCCAGTTAAAATGTATACATAGAAAAAATTAGCCGGGCATGGTGGTGCATGCCTGTAGTCCCAGCTACTCGGGAGGCTGAAGCAGGAGGATTGCTTGAGCCCAGGAGTTTGAGGTTGCTGTGAGCTAGACTGACGCCACGGCACTCACTCTAGCCCGGGCAACAGAGTGAGACTCTGTCTCAAAAAAAATAAATAAATAAAAATTAAAAAGACAAGCTTCACCAAGACAAAAAGCATTTACCAAAATGAGATTATCTTTACAGCCAACCCATCATGTTTGGAAAACACACTCTTGCTACATATGTCTGTGTCATGTTCAAGGTCCCCTCCATTTAAGTTGAGCCCGTGGAAAGAAACAGATTAACATTTCAGGTCAAAACATAGGACAATGCAAAGTGAGCAAGGGAGGTTTATGCTGAAGAGTGAGATTTTTCTCCTTCCAGAATTATACGTAAGACCCAGAGTTGAAGGGAGAAAAAACAAAACAAAAAAACACTTAAATCTTCTCATTCTAATTTCAAAGCACTTTTTAAAGATATGCCAGTACCAACTAACTCCCCAAAGGCGAGGATCACCTCGCAACCCCACGTGTTAGGTGGATGGCAAGGGATTCTGGATCTCCTAGGGACAAAAGTGGGTAACTGCCGCCATTCACCACCTCCCAAAACGGGCTTTCAGAGAGGCTCATGGGAGATCTGCATGTCACGTGACTCGACTCAGGTCATGTGACTCCCAACTGTCCAATTAGAATGGTTCCATGGTGACCTCTGAATCCCACAATGGAAGCCCCACTCCAGGTTCAATAAAACAAGAGGCAGACCATAACCAGGCCCACTTTTTTGCGCCCTTCCATTTGTTCTCTCTTTGCTGTGACAATGGGTCTAGTCGTCATCTGTGGCGTTGTTATGTGCCAGGCTCTGTAAACCTACATCTTCTTGCTCTTGCCCTACAATCCTATCTTTCTCTCCTCCATGAGCCTCGTCTTCGAGCTTGCCTCACTTTGGGGCATCTGGTCGGTCTTCGGCCAGGAGCGCACCAAGAACAGACATTTGAGACTAAACCCTGAGGGACTTGGAACCGTGACTGGGACGTCTCTCTCTCTCTCTCTCTCTCTCTCTGGGCCAGCCTCGCTCTTCATCTCCCTACCCTTGTTTTCCCTCTTCCACCCTGGCTGTTTCCGTGGCTGAAATTGTGAGGCGCCAGGTCTAACACCCACTTCAGTATGAGAAAAGGACTGTGAGGTCTCACGAATGGCTGTGATGGAAGAAAAATATATATATATATTTTTTTAATGATGAAAGAGTCATCTCGACCTCCTAATGGAAAGGGAGAGAGGCGCAGGTCAGTCGGCTGATAATGTTTACGAGAACCGGCAAAAAGGAAATACTTCTTGCTTCGTTGGTTTATCCAGGTGGGTTCATCCCCAGACTTCTAGACTCTCCCCTTCGGTTGTCAGAGAGAGGGAAGAATCTAGAAAGAAATGATACATGGGGGGTAACAGGGCAACGAAGAGACAAAGGCATCTCCTCTCATTCTTGTCATTGGACCGTAAGGAAGACCCACCAGGCCCTGGAGAGATGGATGCCGGAGAGGTGAGTGAGATCATGAACCCATAAACTTGGCAAAGCGGTGGCCTGGGACAGGACATGCTTACATCTGGGGAGTGCAGAGCTAGGCAGGCATCAGCTGAGAGATGAGGCAGAGCCAACAGGTATCGATGGAGGAAATGTTATCTCAACAAAAATTTCTATTGCAGAGCACCTACAATTAACTTTAGAAGTGGAGGACTGATCATTAAAATATTTTATCTTTGGTGATTCTAGCCTATCCGTTTCCAAAGTGCCGGACTAATTTCTCTCTCCTACCCACCTCATTTCAAAGAAAAATAAATATTAATGACACTAGTTGCATAAAATCCAAGAGTATCAGTGCATTCTCATTTTCTTTAGACTGATTCATATATGTATACTTAGTATGCAGATTATATGTACTACATGTGTGTAGATAGTATGACAAGGCACTCACCTTGCTCAAAGGCAATCAGAAATTGTTCATGTACAACACAGACAGTGAAATCATTCATGTGTCTATGAAACTGTACCGAATTTACTCGTGGAAATCCACACAGATGCCTTAATACTAGAAAATTTTTCTCATAATACGATTATTTATATTTAAACAATTGTTAGGGTTTTTTTGTTTTTGTTTTTGTTTTGAGACAAAGCCTCACTCTGTTGCCCAGGCTAGAGTGCCGTGGCATCAGCCTAGCTCACAGCAACCTCAAACTCCTGGGCTCAAGCAATCCTCCTGCCTCAGCCTCCCGAGCAGCTGGGACTACAGGCATGCGCCACCATGCCCGGCTAATTTTTTCTATATATTTTTAGTTGGCCAATTAATTTCTTTCTATTTTTTTTTTTTAGTATAGATGGGGTCTTGCTCTTGCTCAGGCTGGTTTCGAACTCCTGAGCTTGAGCAATCCACCCAACTCGGCCTCCCAGAGTGCTAGGATTACAGTTCACGAGCCACCCCACCCGGCCTAAGTAGACAGGTTTTGAAGAGACTAAAAGGCTAATCTGAACACTCTAGCTGGAAGTGGGTATTACAGACACAACCAGGTTAACATCCATACTTCTCTGTTGTACATTTGGGCAGACTAAATAGATATGAGACAGATAACGTAATTCCATGACAGTCAAAACACTTGTTTATTCTACCCTCCCAATTCCCATTATATGAAATGAAAATACTAATTTAATGAAAAACTCACCATATCTGTATCTGAGACAGGGCCAAAACTGGTCACGTAGATGTTAGTGAAGACTTCGGTAATACTGTCTGATATGAGAAAAGAGATTGAATATAGATATTATATAATAAGAGCCACAAAAGAGAGAAGGGGTTGAGTATAAGGTACGGTTCGAAAGCTGTTGTCATAAATTCAGGAGCTTTGCATTTTGCTTTCTTGTCAACTTTCACAGCCAACAAAAAATAGCAATACTGCTCAGTTATTTCATAGGTTCTCACCATGCAAATGCAAAATGCCTAGAAGTATTATGACATTCTTACTTGGAAACCATAGTGTATTAGCACATCCTGTTCTAAGACATATTGGTCAGAATGAATAGTTTCCTAGAAACCATCTTAAGTGAACTTGTTTCCAATAAATCTACCACCAGTACTAAAAATAAAATACAGCTATTGTTTGGTATAGTCCTAAAATGATGTTTAAATATTTCAGATGGTATTTCATCATGGTAAAGATTCAGTTTCTAGATGGTAAATCAGTGTATCTTCTCCAAAAAGCACAAAAATAGATTGTTTATCATTATACATAAATATAATTCATATTAATATAAAAAGTTTTATTTTATGACATAAAAATAAAATACTTTAATTAATCACAATGAATCACTTCCAAACCAACTTGATTTTAAATGTATTTAAGAATGTCTGAAAAGCTAAGATTGAATTAAATTGAACTCTAAAATTATGTAACATATTAACTGTAACTACTATTAACTAGATTAGCCCTATTAACCAGGTGATTTAGATTTTTTGATTTTAAATAAAGCCCAATGGTGCTGGGGGAAAAGGTTCAAGGGTTTTAAAACCAAAACTTTTTTCATTTTCTTTTTGGGGGGAAAAATACATTATTAATTATTAATCTCTATCATCATGAGCTAAATCTTTTGCCAACCAACTGTCAAATATGTAATCTACACAAACAATGCCATGAAATATTTTTCATATTATACTAAACTTTAATTTACAACCATTGAAGAGCGTAAAATTGTATCTGGGATATGACTTCACTAGCAGCGGTCCCCAACCTTTTTGCCGCCAGGGACTGGTTTCATGGAAGACAATATTTCCACCAAAAGGTGGGGTGATGGGAGAGGGAGGGAGCTCAGGTGATAATAATAATAATACGATTATTTATATTTAAACAATTATTAGTTTTTTATTTTTTTGAGACAGAGTTTCACTTTGTTGCCCAGGTGATGCCAGTGACGGGGAGGAGCAGCTGTAATGACAAATGAAGCTTTGCTGGCTTGCCCACTGCTCACCTCCTGCCATGCACCCCCAGTTCCTAAATTTCATAAAAGACAATTATGGGGGGCAGGGTGCGATGGCTCACGCTTGCCATCCTAGCACTCTGGGAGGCCAAGGTGGGCGGATCGCTCAAGCTCAGGAGTTGGAAACCAGCCTGAGCAAGAGCGAGACCTTGTCTCCACTAATAAAGAGTAGAAAGAAATTAATTGGCTAAATAAAAATATATAGAAAAAACAATTAGCCGGGCATGGTGGCACATGCCTGTAGTCCCAGCTACTTAGGAGGCTGAGGCAGGAGGATCGCTTGAGCCCAGGAGTTTGAGGTTGCTGTGAGCTAGGCTGATGCCACGGCACTCTAGCCCGGGCGACAGAGTGAGACTCTGTCTCAAAAACAAAACAAGACAATTATGGGGGGGTGGAGCGGAGCTCTGAGCCCAGGTCCCTAACAGGAAGCAGCCCAGGGGTTGGGGACCATGGCACTAAGGCAAGAATAAAAACTAAAAAGGACTTTGAACAAACAGAGTAGATGCTGAATTCTTACTACAGACCAGATACTCTTTAAAGGACTTGAAATATAATAATCTGCATGATGAACCTAGGTGTTAAGTTCCCTGTTATCGTACATGTATACAGTGATGTACAGAAAAGTAAGCAAATCTGCCCAAGAGCCAAAGCTAATAGAGCAGATCCAGCCAAGTTTCTAGAACCCAAGTTTCTAGGCACTCAGGCTAAACTAAAGCATTGCACCAGCCAATGATAAAGCTGAAACTAAAAGTAGTTTCTTAGTAACCTACATTTCTATTCACCAGAATGCCCTGTGCCCAGGGCATAGTTAGTGTTCCAAATAAATACATTCACTCAACTTTAATTTGCATACCGTCTTCTCCCTAAAAGTGTATTTATGAAATTCTATGATAGAAACCATTTTAAACACAACTATATTAGGTCATTACGTGTGAAATATCCGATTCCCTTAACTGCCAAGCTTGGAAGTTAATACCTCTGACATTTCACTCTGACATTTCTTTGTTTCCTGTTGTGAAGGTACACCCCGCAGTCTTTCAAACACACACCACGGTGGCTTGCGATTTAGCTCTCACATTTTTTTAGAGCGACTTTTATGGAACCACGGCTAAGAAAAAAAAATTCATGTTATTTTTGAATGTGAGTTCCATCATGGAACCAATACAGTGTAGACAGCTGGAAATATCATTGAAGAGTTTGGGAAGGGTGTGGCTGACGAACGCACAGTACATTCATGGCTGGAGACAATTCCATCCCGGTGATTTTAGTTTTCGAAAGTGAGCCACGTGGGTGACCTGAAACCACGGTGGGTCACGGTGAGCTGAAAGCAGTAGCAGAAGCGAATCCATCTCAACCTGTGCGTGCATCAGCAGCAAGGTTTGACGTTACTGTTCCAGCAATATTGGGCGATTTGAAACAAATGGGCAAGGTGGAGAAGCTGGGTGGATGGGTTCTGCATGAATTCAACGAGCATCAGAAGAGAAACCATCTTGAAGCTCACCTTTGCTTGCTGTCACGACATAAAGGAGGACCATTTCTACGCTGCATTGTTAACACGAGATGAAAAATGGATTCTTTTTGACAACCGCGAGCATTCCGCACAAGGGTTGGATAAAGTGCCAGAACACTGTCTAAAGCCAAATATTCTTCGGAAAAAAAAAGTTAATGTTTCCTATTTAGTAGTCCAGTGCTGGTATTATCCATAACAGCTTCATGAAACCTGGTCAACTGATTACAGCGGATGTCTACTACAACCAGCTGGGTGGAATGATGAGGATGTTTGTGATGAAGCAGCTGAGGCTGGTCAATAGAGACAGGCTAAGACCTCTTTGCAAGACCGCATGTCACAAAAAAACACCACTCCTCAAACTACAGAAGCTGGACTTGGAAGCTCTCTGTCATCCACCATATTCACCGGACCTTGCACCAACTGCCTACCACTTTTGGGCCACTTCTTACAAGGAAAAATATTCAATTCTCAACAAGGTGCGGAAAACGCCTTTGTGATTTCCCCACTCAGTCTTCAGGCTTCTTCACTGCTGACATAAACAAGCTACAGTTAAGATGGCAAAACTGTGTCGAAAGTTTAGGCACATACTTTGATTAATTAATTGTACTGCTTCTGGTTTGAGATATAATAAACTAAACTTCTGATTTGAAGTCGGACGTTTCATATTTAATGATCTAATATTTTTTAAGTTTTTTTTCACTTGCCCTTGCCCCCAAGGCCTTGCTTTTGTTCGGTTTTTTGGGCTTTTACTTGTTTTGTTCCCTTGGGGTTTTTTGCCCGGAGGGGCCCTTTGTTTGCTTTATTTTTTTTTTTGCCTTTTTTTAAACTCTTTAATTATTTTTGGCACAAAGGACCTTGTATTTTCATTTTGGATGGAGCTTCACAAATGACATAGCAGGTCCTGGACCTGAATTCTATATACTCTTAGAAAGAAATCATGAAAATGAAACCTGAGTTTGTTTTGTTTTGTTTTCTTCCTCTTATTCTCGCCAAGTTAATCGTGCTATGGCATTTATTCGATAAAAATTGAATAAAACTCTAGCTGTTATAGATATTACTCTAAAATGTTCCAGAGAAGAGAAATTAAAGTGTTATGGTAGTTTCCATTCTAACAGAGGAAATATTCTCTTTAGTTTAGTGAAGTTAGAAGAGATGACAAAAATGTGTGAATGTATTGAGGCAACGGATGTGAATAGCATTCGCTATATGCCAAATGGCAAGCAAAGAGTAAAGGAGTATTAATCAGTATCTGGGTGGCTTTGCAAGGATGTCAACTAAGAATGGAAAAAGAGAAAAATAAAGTTAGCCTCAAAATTCTAAGTAGTGAAAGAAACACCTAAAGACGCAGAACATAGATGTGCGGAAGTTATCTTAAGGAAAAGAAATGATAGAAGAATGTATGATCCTTAGGAACAATCATCAGATTCATGATGGTGGTTACCACCTGGGAGAGAGGAAGGGGAATAGTTTGTAGATGTACACGAAGGGCACCTAATGTGTTATTAATATTTTCCTTCTTTTAAAGTTGAGCTTAGGCCAGCCACAGTGCCTTGAACTGTAATTTCAGCACTTTGGGAGGCCAGGAGTTCGAGTCCAGCCTGGGCAACATAGGAGACCTCATCTCTACAAAACATAAAAAAAAAAAAAAAAAATTAGTCCTGGGAAACTTGGGAGGCTGAGGCAGGAAGAGCATTTGAGCCCAGGAGTTCAAGGTTGCAGTGAGCTATGATTGAGCCACTGCACTCCAGCCTGGGCAACAGAGCAAGAACCGTTATCAATAAATAAGTAAATAATAAATGGATAAACAAACCAATAATTAAATGAAATTGATCATCATCTATTTTTGCAAAGTTTTAAGATTCGATGAAGGTGGTCATTGACTAAGTCTTGCCATTCTGTGTACTTTCTGAATTTTTTAAATATTTCATAGGAAAAAAAAAATAAATGGCCCTGAAGGATATCTACAATGAATATATAAATAATTTCAAGAACAGTTTCAATTAATTCATGAAAAATCGCTATTCACTGGCTAATGCAGCATACAATAACAATCAAAGGCTTCTTTACAAGATCCTCTGCAAAACTACGAAGAAACAAAAATAACGTACAACTAAGATTTCTTACCCCGCAAGATTCACTTAAGATAGGTTCTGGAGGGTAAAAAGTAAGGCAAAATATCTGCCCGTGAAGGATTCACAGTGTGATAGAAAGGAGACATTAAAAATGTAGTACAATAAACGTCTGCTGTT